TGTCATTTTAGTTATTCTCTTTTCTTCCTTAAAACTTTATAGTTTGAAAGTATTTAACTAGTAGAACAATTTATTTGTTTGAAAGTTTTTACTAGTAGAACAACTTATAGTTTGAAAGTATTTAACTAGTAGAACAATTTATTTGTTTGAAAGTTTTTACTAGTAGAACAAATTTTAGTTTGAAAGTATTTACGAGTTAAACGATTTTATCGTTAGAAAGTATTTACTAGTAAAACGACTTTATCATTTGAAAGGTTTTCCGAGTAAAATGATAGCATTTATGTTACTTTTAATTTAGTTTAAAACCCCATTATTAAATTGAATTAGAATGTTTAGGAATATTTTCTCTTTTGTGAATTGAATAAACATACAATTTAATCCGGCTAACCTTCCTTAGAGAACGACCCGAGTCGGGTAACTCGGTTATTACTTGCCCAAAAATATTACCAACACATGATATGCCGTTAAGATTGTTTATGGTCACCGTATCCCGGTCCGTCGGGTTGTTGACTTCCCTAAAGGAGCTCAAGAAGGATTATTATGTTAAACTCGGCCGGTGGATTAGTTTACGACATAATAATAAAGAATTGACTTGTACTATTTTCGGTTCAAGAAGTTGATTAATTATATTTTCAGTAATTAAATTAATCAAGAAACGTTATATCTTAAACATGAGGAGGTAAATCGAGCAATTAGTCGGGAGCTAAATGAGGAGTGCAATAATATTACTCTAGTAGAATGTTCTATTCTTTATTAAATTAAAAAATAGGTGTAGACATAAGGTGATGCAGATATATATTTATGATCATTGATTTAGGATATATATTTATTTCTATTTACCTTTATTATTATTATTATTATTATTATTATTATTATTATTATTATTATTATTTCTTTTATGTTTAGTATTTGGTAAGATAATATTTATTTCTTATTAGAATATACGATTCCGCTCACCTACCCACCGTGGGCAAATATTAATCTGCCCACCGGCTTACGTGGCACATACACATCATCAGATATTATTTATTCCACAAACCTAATTATCATTTATTTTCCTTTCTTCTCCCAGAAAAACCCTTACTTCTCCCCGACCGAATTTTCACAGAGAAGCACGACGGCTTCGCATTCGACGGCGAACGAAGTTGACGAGCCATACCCGGCCAACGGACGCAATTGACGAGCTCATTTTCAGGTCACACCTCCCACATCCGGCCAGTCCCGATTTTTCTTTCCCGCACATGAGAGGTTATTTCTTTCTTGGTTGTCTGTTATTTCACTTTTTCACCATAACTTTGTTTTATTTTAGTTTGTGTTACTCTTCAAAATCATATGTCTGTTTAACAAAATTAAGAAAAAGGAAGTTGAAAATGGTTTTTATTGCAAGTTTAATTTTCAAGTTGAAAATGATACCTGTCAAATAGTACAAACATTGTTTGGAACTCAAGTATCATGATTTGCCAACAATTTTGCATTTTTATTTTTTTTTTGTTCACGGTTGGAATAATTTTTGTATATCCAGAATTGTTATTCCATTTTAACACTCTTATTGTAGGGAGCAAGACGAAACGTCATTTGTTCAACAAGTCACTATTGGTGCGACACCAAAAGTCGGTCAAGTGTTTCAATCGCTTGAGGAAGCCTACAACTTTTATAATAATTATGCCAGGCAAACATGATTTAGCGTGCGGATTGCCAATAATAAAAAGATTAAAGATACAAATGAGGAGGTTTGGAAGATGTATGCGTGTAATAAAGAAAGAAAGACGGATGAAACATGGCAGACTAAGAAGAAAAATATGACGACCAAATCTGGGGAAAGGAAGCATGGACATACTCGATGCGGCTGTCAAGCCAAAATGAGCGTGAAAAAGTCCCAGGATGATGGCATGTGGATCGTTAGTTGTTTTATCGAGCAGCATAATCATCACCTCACGACTCCTAGCAAAGTCCACTTGCTACCGCCACACAGGATTGTCTCAGCAACCAAGAAGGCTCTGGTTCAAAAATTCTCAGAAGCTAATATTCCAACTAGCCAACATGTGAGATTATTTGAGATAGAAGGTGGTGGTCCATCAATGACTGATTGCCTAGAGAAAGACATTAGGAACCACAAAAGGGACATTCAAAACGATCTATCTGGACATGATGTCGAAACATTGATCCAACACTTTGAGATGGAGAAACAGAAAAATGAAAAAAAAAATTGCTTATGAGACGGACGATGTCGATGTTCTTGTTAGATGTTTTTGGGCTGATAGTGTGGCTAGAAATTCATATGCTTATTTTGGGGATACGTTGGTGTTTGATACAACTTATAACACAAATAAATATATGGTCTTTGCCCCTTTTGTTGGAGTTAACCACCACAGGAAAACCACTGTTTTTGGGTGCGGATTATTGAGTGATGAAATGACCGAATCATTTGCTTGGTTATTTTTGAAGTTTTTGGAATGTATGCCAACACATGCAGCCCCAGGTGTAATTATTACTAACCAAGATGTTGCTATATCTCGAGCAGTTGCAGAGGTGTTTCCGAACACATTACACCGATTTTGTTTGTGGCATATACTTAACAAATTTTCAGAGAAGCTAAGTTTTTTGTTGTACAAAGAGCAGAATTAGGTCAAGAGTTCGAAACTAGATGGTCAGTTGCTGAGTTCTACAGAATTGAAGAACAATGAGTGGTTATGTACTATGTACATGATACGACACCGTTGGGTACCTGCTTATGTTAAACATGTCTTTGCGGCAGGAATGTCAAGCAGTCAAAGAGTGAAAAGTAATCATTCATTTTTTAAGGGCTATGTAAATCACAAGAACTCCTTGGTGGATTTTATTACACGTTTTAACATGGCGCTACATCACCAAAGGCATGATGAGTTAGTTGCAATCACATTGATCTCAGCGAAGTGCCGCGAATGGTTACGGCATTTCTAATGGAACAATAAATGGCCTCAATTTATCCAAAGGCAATATTTTTGCTATTTCAAAGGGAGTTGCAACAAAGCAGCATATGTTTGTACCGAGGTTTCAAGCAGTGACACTACTCTAGTACAGAAAGTTAAGCGATTTGAGTCGGAAAAGGCATTTAATCGAGAACGAGAGTTAGTGTATGATATGTCATCTGATTTAATATCATGTAGTTGCAGACATTTTGAGTTTGAGGGGTATCTGTGCCGCCATATGCTTTGTTGGATGAAAGTTACACAGGTCATGTTGCTGCCTGACAAGTATATTCTCCTGAGATGGACCAAAAAGGTGAAATCAAGTGTTACATGTGAGGGGGCACCAAAACTCATAGAGAGACAGTCTGTAATCTCAAAGCGTGCGGTGTTAGCTCATATTGCACTGGAATTAGTTGATGATTGCTCTTTAATTGAGGCTCGTAGTAGTTTTTTAATGGAAGAATTACAAAAGTTGAAGTTAAAGGCAAAAGACCTCAATGGTGTGAACAATATTACAAGGGAAATAAATAAGAGCAAAAGTGACGAGCTTACACAGGCCATCCAAGATCCGCATCCGGTTCGGGCTAAAGGATGTGGTAAGCGACTCAAATCATCAAAGGAGAAGTCCATGCCGAAAAGTAGCAGACATTGCGGTGTTTGTAGTCAAAGTGGTCATGATAAGCGAACATGCTCTGATCTACATCTAAGTATGCCATCTTACTAATTTATTTCTACTACACATACTCTAAATTCTCTAAAGTGGCATGAATCATTTATTTTTGTAGGTCAAAACTTTATTTCTACTGCACATATTCTTAATTCTCTAAACTGATATGAGTTATTTATTTTTGCAGGTCAAAACTAGTTGACGAGCCGTATCATTCGGAATTTCCTTTTCACAATATACAAGACGATTAATACATTGGTTTAGTGCATGATTGATCAAACTATTATTTTTCGTTCATTTCTATCTCTCGTGGAACTTAGAAGTGAATATTCTTGTTATTTATTTATTTATTTGGCTTTTTTTGCTAATTTTTATATGATTGGATTTTGTTTGATCTTTGTTATTTTAAGATTTATTTGGTTTGTTTGTCACAATGTTGTTGAAAATGGATTCGGTTGAGGAAAGACTTTTGGATTTCGGAAATTTTCATTTTAAGATTTATTTGGTTTGTTTGACACAATGTTGTTGAAAATGGATTCGGTTGAGGAAAGACTTTCGGATTTCGGGGATTTTCGAATAAGGTTGTGCAGAGAATTAGGGAGTTCTGTGTGAATTATGGGTGAGAGGAATAGGAGTGGGAATGTGAAGATTAGTAATACTCACAGTGGAGGTGGATTTAGATAATGGAGTTTTGGATATTGTGGGAGTCCCAATTCAGAAGGATACAGGGGAAGTACGGAGAAGGCGAGCTTTGAAGTCTACAAAAATTTATTATCATGATTTATTAACATTGTGCCTCCACGAAATTGTGGAGCCGATACAACAGACTACATTGAAATCAAGATTTGCACAAAAAAAGATAATTAAAGCATCTATACAAAAGCTCAGTCCTTTACCCAGACCATGTCAAAGATTCTTATCCCAAATATTAAGCATTAACATCCTGCTTACAAACTACAAATAACACAGTAGTCAAAACATTACAAGTTACACTCACAAAACAAGTGAACCTACTTAAATCAACAATTGCATTAGCACACAATGGCCAACCTTGATGTTCTTGGTTTTCTCTTTCAGATGGAACTATGAACCTACTTAAATCAACAATTGCATGAGCACACAATGGCCAGCCTTGATGTTCTTGGTTTTCTCTTTCAGATGGAACTCATTATGCCATCAGTTAGAGCAATAGTTGACACAAGAGATGCCTTCAAGATTCTTAAAGCCTGCATGAAAAGAGAAAGCAACTACTAACAAACTTAACATGACAAAAAGAAAAAAGAAAAAAAAAATTGAGGCGAGCTGATGCATGTCGTGAACACAAGAGAAAAAGGAAATATCATGCCTTTATGTTCAAACTTTCTTGCCTTAGTTGTCTAATTCTCGAGAGAAAGTATTACTGTTCGAACGGTTAGATAATACCGAAAACTCCCTAGATAACACAACATTAATTAGCAATATCTAATACAAGTCAAATAAGTTCAATGCACAAAATATCCAACAAAGCAATACACAAAATATCCAACAACAATAATGTCAGAAGGTCTGAGTTCCACCATAAAAATCAAAGCAAGATTTATTTTTTGTGTGTAAGTCATCGCATCAATGCTTTTCCAATACAATATCTTTGCATATTTTGATTTTATTCTCCACTGCTTGAGAACTAAGTACGCAATAATTAAGCCTTACAAGCCACCGCTCATATTATAACCCATTCAATCAACTTTCTTTTCCCATTCCAGACAACCAATTATTGTGAAATTCTGATTCATTTTCAATTTAAAAATAAAATAATTAAAAAAAAAAGAAAGGAGGTGGCCCAGAAAAAAATTTGGATAATAAACTTCCTTACTGTAGTCTCTCAGTAAAGCTCGTCAATTGCGTCCGTCGTCCGTCGGTCGGGTATGGCTCGTCAATTTTGTCTGCGTCGATGTCGAAGTCGATTGATTTCGGTATCCTGAAATTGAGCAACGCTTTCACCTCCGGTAAGGCTCATCAATTGTGTCCGCGGCTAGGTATAGCTCGTCAATTTCGTCCGCCGTCGAAGGCAAAGCCGATTGATTTCGGTATGTGGCTCAATTCAATTTCGCCCGTCGTCTGTTCAATGTTTCCCATCACATCTTCTGTGAGGGAGAAGAAAGAAAAATAAATGATAATTAGGTTTGTATCTGATGATGTGTATGTGCCACGTAAGCCGGTGGGAAGATTAATATTTTTTTACGGTGGGTAGGTGAGCGGAACCGTTAGAATATATAGTAAGAGATCTTGTCTTGTAGGACAAGTTAGGAGTAGGATTTAGGAGCCTTATTTAAATGACCTCTCATAATTTGCGTTTTTCAGTGAATATGAAATAAGAAATTGATTGAGTTTATCGTGTTTTGGTGTTCTTGAGATTAGGATCTCATTAATATCGTCTCACTGGTACACTTCCCTACATCATAAGGTCTTCTAGATGTTAACAAGATGAAAGGCGTATGGTCTACTAGATGTTAACAAGTTGAAATACATAAGGTCTTCTATTCATATTTGGAAAGCCCATATTTAGCACCTCCTTAGGGTCCCTGTTGTAGCCTATAAAAACACTAAGTCCCCTAGCCTCCATCAACATGTTTCACACGTCCAAAATTAGAATTCCACACGCATGGACAGTCTTTCACACATCCAAAACTCGTGTACAAAAAAGTTCTTCTCTTTGAAAAATTCAGATAAAACTGAGAGGTCTTAGGAGAAGAATTTAAGAGGCTTTGGGAGTTCCGTTTAATCGCTCTACCAAGACGATTCGGAGAAGGTGTAAAGGTCATACAATAGAAGATCTCAAAGTTTTGTTTTCACATCCTAATGAATTTGTATATATGCATCATGTCGAATATATATAGCCCTACAGCACCTCGGATGACCATGAAAGTTGGAGAGCATGACAAATGGAGAAAGGTGCATCCACCGGTGTTATCAGAACCACCAGCCACAGTCGTACATGCCGGTGCCGGAGCACCATGCGCTTCCAAGCGCCGCCCAAGCACCTCCTGTGCACAACCCGCGCAGACAGACTCGTGCTGACAGTGCACAACCATACATCCTGCGAGTGACCCGTGTCTCATGCACCGACCCGCGTGCTTCATGTGCGCGACCCATCGCAACTCGCGAGCTTCGCGTCCGACCGGTGTCATTTCAGCGTTCCAGTGTCTCGCATGACTAGTGCCCCAGACTGCGCGATCTAAGCCACCAGCGCAGCAGACCCGCGAAGTCCCGACAACAGCGTGACCGGACCGTGCCACCAGTGCACCAGTTTGTGCAGTCTCGGTAACCAGGCCACAAGCGGACCCCGGTGATGCCAACGAAGGTTTTGCACCTGCAAACACCCATGACCGAGTACAAACGTACACGTAAGAGAGAGACAGAAACACCCGAGACCGAGCATGGGTCGACCAGGCAACCAACGCGCGACCACTAGGGGTACGTGAGAGACCCGCAGCAGTGGCTGCGAGACGACTCGGGGTGCCCGCGTAGATGCGGGACAACGCGCATGCGGATAAGGAGTGCACAGACACGCGCGCGACCTGCAGATGTCGGGTGAGCGCAGGTCCAGCTCCTTGGGGAGGCAGCCTAGGGCCTCCCCTTATATTTGGGGCCCTATTTTTTTTTTCAATACTATGTATTTGTGATGAGTTTGGCCCATTATACAAATGAAGGAGCTAATTAATGAATGAGTTACTGACAAAATATATACTTTGTGTCAAAAACTTGAGGCCCTAAATATTTCATTTGTTTTCTTATGATGTTCGGTTAGAACAATTGTATGAGAATAAACATTCTTTGTAGTGATATGATTTTTATTTCTTCTCCTTGTTGTTCTAATGACTGATTGAATGTAAATTATTAAAGATCTTTGTAACCCATTGGTAATTTATCAATTCCAAAGTCTACAAAAACAAGAATTTTTTTTAATTATTTATTTATTTATTTAATAGTCTTTTTTGATTAGGTTTTTTCTTCTATGATTCTATCTGCAAATAGCCTAATTACCACGCAAGTTCAAATCGGGAAATTCGAAAAGGAAAAACTTGTTTAGGGCCTCCAAATTTCTGGAGATGGCCCTGGGCGAGCGTACAGGGACGTGCGGGCGCGGGTCTGCCGACAAGACCGCAGACAGAGTTACTTGAGTGCCAAGTTGGAGATTTCTTCTAGAGGTTACAAGATTATTTTCCAAATATTATTCCTAGATTGTTTAAGATTTGGATTTGAATTGCTAAGATATTTAGTTACGTTAGGATTTGATATTATTTTCCATAATTAGAGATCTAGTTATCTTAGGATTAGACTTAGTTTTCTTCTTTAAACATCTGGTCCTTATGTTCGAATTTATCATCATTCAAGTAATAAAAGAACTAAACTTTGTTTACCAAATCCTAGTGTTAAGATTCTTTGAGCTTTTTCGCAAAACTCTTGTGTCGAAGAGGTGTTTATCTATCGAATCATTCGTCACAAGTTCGAGTTGGCAAGGAGTCACGTCCAAGCTACCTTAACCCATCGCTGAAGAGAAGGTGCCCAAACAACATTTGAAGCAACCTATCGCCAAGAAGGAGGCGGTCTTCGTATCCTTTGAAGCAAAAACTGAGCATCGGGATACACGATCCTCATCACCCGATCTTCGTATCCTTTAAAGCAACCTATTGTCAAGAAGGAGGTGGTCTTCATATCCTTCTGAAAGGTTGGGACCCCCCCAAACACAACCACAAGCCCCAAGGCAATAAAAAGAAGACCACAACCTCTCCAGAACACTGAGGCCCCAAAACCAACACAACACAGAGAAACCCTAAAGAACTAGCTAGACCGTGAAGATAAGACAAAACCTAGCCCAAAACCTACAACCAACAAGAAAAGAAAATGAACAGAAGCAGGGATTTAAGAACAAGAAAACCAAATTAGCCTGCAAGATCCTAAAGAAAGGAACTAGAACTCCACTAGGAGAGAAACAATGCAATTGGGCAGCATCATTTGGGGAGCTTTGTGTTCGGATATTTCTAGGTATAACATATATAATATTGAATAAAAAATATTTGGTAATTACCAGTTACAGTTTAATAGATAAAAAATACAAAATAAGTAAGTTAATTTGGACGAGAAAATTTTAATTATGCAAATCAACGAGTGGTCTTAAATTATGGCCCTGTTTGCTATTAGATGATAACGAATAACGGAAACTAATAGTTGATTGAAATAGCTTATTTGACTAGAGATTTGTATTACTAGTTGGTAAATAATTATTTGGTAAATAACAGATTGTATAGTTATTATGGAAATTTGATATTGACATATTATTCTACAAGTCCTATAATGAGGTTTTTCAAAGTTAGCATTTTGGGTTAATAAAACAATCAAATAAACTTTTTACCAAACAAGCTAATTAGCTAATTTGACGGATCAAACATCTAAATGACGTTCTATACGCTAATTTTACATCAACCGTGAACATCCAATCAATATATATATATATATATATATATATATATATATATATACTACGAGAATGCAAATTTGTAAAAGGTGTTGTATTCAATTAATACTTTTAGAGACTTTTCAAAAGTTTTTAATGTAGNTAGCAAGAAGAGAAAATAAAATAATCTGCATCGTTCATAGTTGTTTAAAAAAAAAGAATCAATAGTTATTCTAAAAAAAATTGTAAATCAAGTCAAATAAGTAAAAAGAATTTATAAATCCTCCAAAAAATTGTGATTCAACCTAGAGCTGTTATTCGAACTGAGCTTTTTGTACACAACTCGATTTGGCTCGAGAAAGTTCTTGCTCGACTTGTTTGTTTTCTTAAACGAACCAAGCCTAAACAACTAATCAAACTCATTTATTAAATGAGCCGACTTAAGCTTGTTTGCAAACATCTTTTTTTTATAAGAAAAAAATCTTTATCTTTTATGAGACAAATAATCGAGCCAAACTTGTTTTCGAACCAATATTTCGTGTTTGCGGATAAATTGTTTAGGATTTTAAGTTTGTTAAACTCTGAACTTTATTTTTTTTTCAAAACGATAGAACGGTTTTCATTACTCAAACAAGAATGTACAACCGAGAGATCAAATGATTCCGAATACATCCAACTCCCAGAGTAACATTCATAGATGTCCTAAACTCCACAAGCACCACCTACAAACCAAAAAACACAAAGAAACAAACTAACCAAACACCAAATACAACAATGAACAACTAAATACAGAAAGCAAAGAAAATCACAGAAACAACAGCCAAACTAATCTTTACTATTTCTGACTTTACTTCGTTCGCTTCGTTCTAACCAAACACCAAATACAACAATGAACAACTAAATACACAAAGCAAAGAAAATCACAGAAACAACAGCCAAACTAATCACCAAGAGAACCAGACCCCCAGACCAAAGGCAGCAACTAATTGGCCGATCTCTCCAGCTGAAATGCCATCACCTCAGAACATCAACAAACTGTAACAGAAACAAGCTAACCAAACAATACAAGAAGGCATATACCCACTGAACCTGCAAAGAACCTAGAAATAAGCCATCTTGATGAAAACATACTACACCAACTGACAAGCAGAGAACTCTCTCCAATCCTTTATTGCCACCTTAACAACTTCCTTTTCAGGCATCATTGCCACCTTAAACTCAAAACTTGACTTGAACCTTTTGTTCGTTTATCAGACGAGCATAAACTCTGTCATGACGTATTCGATTTAGCTTGGTTTAAAAGACAAAATGATGAACAAAAGAGAGGATAAAAGTAAACCCACATAGAAGAACCATGAAAAAAAAAGTAAATACAAAAAAAGGCAAGCTAAACATTTTATTAAAAAAAGAAATTATGTAGGCTATCATGATAAATTAGTAAAATAGTAGAATTATGAGAGAGAGACATATGAGATATATAGTTGTATACATCGAACCCTATGAGAGAGGAGAGTTTAAAAGAGTCGTGTAAGTTCAACAAAAGTTGCTAGTTTGATGAAACTTCTACAAAGACTTTGTCATTATAATTTTATTAAAAAAGGCTCAATAAGTTTTCTAATTTAAAAAGTCTTATAAAACATTCTTAATTTGATTATCGAGTGACTTATAATAAAATTAAAAAATTTTAATTGAATACTTTATGACTTTTAAAATTATATACATATTTTTTGAAAAATATCAATTGAATACAAATAAGCCTTTAAGAGTTATAAGAAATCTACTTAAATTAAATATATCAAATTGCGCAAAAAAGTAAAAGGTAATTATACGTTGGTAATTTCCACAATATTGTTGAGCTAAGGTGTTAAAGCCCAGTAAGCCGAACCAACAGTTTGATTATTAATGTAAGTTTAATTCCGAATTCAGGCCCAAAACCAAAATAATTTCAGCTGCTGGAAAGTGGGAATGGAAACCCCAAAACCCTAATCGAAGATCTATAAATTCCAACTCAACTCTCAGTCTTCGCCACAGAAACCTCAACTCCCTTTACCCTCACTTCTTCACATACAGAGCAGACCAGCCATGGTTGCCACAACTCCAATCAGAGGTATGATATCTGCCATATTATTCCTTGATTGGGAAATTTTTTCGTAGGTGCTAATCAAGACAAATGTTTTTCTGTTTGCAGGAGGCCGTGGAGGTGGTAGAGGAGGAAGGGGAGATCGCGGCGGTAGAGGCGGGAGAGGCGGTAATTTCAGCGGTGGAAGAAGTGGTAGTTTTGGCGGAAGGGGAGGCAGTGACATGAAGAGAGGCGGCGGAAGAGGCGGCCCGAGAGGCGGTGGACGCGGTCGTGGCAGGGGCGGCGGACGAGGAGGTGGAATGAAAGGAGGAAGTAAGGTTATAGTGGAGCCACACAGGCACGATGGCGTTTTTATTGCTAAGGGGAAAGAAGACGCTCTCTGCACGAAAAACATGGTTCCTGGTGAAGCCGTTTATAATGAGAAGAGGATCTCTGTTCAGGTATGCATTTCGAATTAAAAATGCATTAATCGTTATTGTGACTGAGTAACTATTATTGCGGTAGATGATTTTATAGCGTTAAATTTAATTCTTTAGAATGAAGATGGAACAAAGGTGGAGTACAGAGTTTGGAATCCTTTCCGTTCGAAGTTGGCTGCTGCAGTTCTTGGTGGAGTTGATAACATTTGGATTGTGAGTTTACCTATTGACACAATTTTATTTTAGCAATCTATTCTCTTTTCTGGAATTTAGATGCAATCTGTAGATGTTTGTTGCAGTCACTATAAAATGGTTATTTCAGATGGATTTTTTTTTTTTGAACAATGCAAATTGTTACTTATAGTCCTAGATATGGGGAAGAAGTGCGAGAATTTTATTCTTCTTTTGTTTAATCATTAGAAATATAAAAGCACAATAAGTTGAAGCTTTGTGAAACTGGTCCTTTGACTGTCTGCAAATGAGCTGTGTTTATCTTTTGCTTTTTCTGAACTTGGTTTTTTCTATTATATTAAGAAACCTGGAGCTCGCGTGCTTTACCTCGGTGCTGCTTCTGGAACCACTGTATCTCATGTTTCTGACATTGTTGGCCCTGTGAGTAAATTTCCATTTTTGCAGCGATGATCAATTAAATAGTTTTAACAATCTTCTCTAATATTCTGGTTTTACATTTGAGTTTGGCAGGAGGGGGTGGTGTATGCAGTTGAATTTTCTCACAGAAGTGGAAGGGATTTAGTGAACATGGCAAAGAAGAGGACTAATGTTATCCCCATTATTGAGGATGCAAGACATCCTGCAAAGTATAGGATGCTTGTTGGCATGGTTGATGTCATATTTTCTGATGTTGCTCAACCTGACCAGGTCTGATTTAACTGTATAATTTGTTTGAATTCCTTCTCATATTAATCATTTATCACTGTTGATACTATATTGTATATAACTCTAATTAACCAGCTAAATATACCGTTTTATATTTCTATCTAGCTTAGATTCTTGTATTGCTAAATGGGACATCAAGTCTAATTCTTCCTGATTTGTGGTCGTGCTTTGGTTGCTATTATTTTTCTTCTATATCTTATATTTTTCAAGCTATTTTATTTTTCAACGAGGCACTACTCATATTGAAGTGCCTTGTTATTTTTATTCATGCTTTTATAATGGAATTTATATATCTATATATATATATATATTATTCATATGGTTCTACCTATTGTTGTTTACTTGTACAATTTCCTACCTTTCATTTTAGCAAGCAGATGATGAGTTTACTCGGATTCCCCTTCAGGACATCTTGGATGATGCAAAAACCGAGTTTCTGATGCGTTTTTTATTTCATTTCTCTTTTGCCTTTACTGGAGCAACAGTTTTATTTTTTTTTTTCAATCTTCTCACTTTCTGTTCTGAAATTTATTTGTGTGCATGTATATTAATTTCTTTTCCTAGCTACTTCACTTTTACTTACCTGGTATGAGCAAAGTATCTGATGAGATTCTCGGATTCCCCTTCAAGACATAACGGGTGATGCAAAAACCGAGTTTCTGATGCACATTCTGGGATTCTTCCTGATTTTTTCACAATTGTAATTTTTTTTATCCAAATATGATGATCTTGTTGCTGATATTCACCTAAAAATGGGAGAGGGGGAGTTACTGCAGGGTTTCACTTCATCCTGGTACATAAGTGTGGTGTTTTAATTTGATTTCTTGCTTATTGCAGGCTAGAATATTGGCTCTGAATGCATCCTACTTCTTGAAAGCTGGAGGTCACTTTGTTATATCAATTAAGGTTTGCAATTTTTACTTTTATCTCCATCATAGCAAGTAAAAATCTTTCGAATCCGGAAATGTACAAGTGGAAAGTTTTGAACTACCATCTAAAATTCATTTTGTTTATATAAAGTGAGTATTTATCATAATTGGGGATGAAAACATAAAATACCAATTATCGTCAAAATACCAATGTCGTTATACTTGGAAGGATGTGTTTTGTTCATTTTGAGCCTTGCTTTCTTATGCTCTTCTTTCTTGATATGTATAGGCAAACTGCATTGACTCAACTGTACCTGCTGAAGCTGTATTTGCCCAGGAAGTGAAAAAGTTGCAGCAAGATCAGTTCAAACCTGTAGAACAGGTAACACTTGAGCCTTTTGAGCGAGATCATGCTTGTGTGGTTGGTGGATATCGCGTGCCCAAGAAACAAAAGGCCACAGCCTAAACTTCCTTTTATTGATTTGTCTCGTTTTCTTACTGTAATTGGGCCTTTCGCACTATTATTGGAACCCATGCTATTTTGGATCTTTGTAGTTTGTAACATTTTCATTATGAAGTATTTTGTTTTCCATAATTAATTAGTCAAGTTATCCAAGGTTCAAACTAGTAGAAATTTGTGACTTTTCTGTCATGCTGTTTTCATATATTTGGTAGTGTTTGTTTGATCCGAGTATGTACGAGGTCTCGAATCAGAATATTGAAATGGAGAACCAATGGTTGTGACATCTTTGATAAGACCACTTGTAATTTTTGTATTCCTATTTTGCTTTATCTATCGAAATATAATCAATCAATTTGAGCACTGCTACTACGTTACAACCATAGTTTTAAAACTCGGTCCAGGAATTGACCCAGGTAGGTCTTTTTGGTCATCGGGTCAATTGTTGAACCGGATAATTAATTTAAAATTTTTTAAAATTATATATAGAGTATTTTTTCATATAAAAATACATAAAAGTAATAAAATTAAATGTTGTATATAAAATTTGTATAGTAGTGTTAATAATATGTATTTCATGGTAAATATTTACTATATAAATATATATACATAGTTTTTTTTTAAAACCAAAAATATTTAAAAATATATATATATATAGGGATCGGGTCAATTGGGTTGACTGGGTGAAGGCTGGGTTGGCCGGGGTTTGACGGGGTCCTTTGTTGCTCAATCCGAGTAGCTCACCAAGACCGTTTCGGCTCCGAATCTACCCGCGGTTAAAAAACTATGGTTACAATATGTTTAGGCGCTCTATTTAAACTTCCAACTAATCTCAAATTGGTAGACGTTTAAATTTGTGCTTTTCTTAGTAGGCATGAAACATGGTTAAATAATCGGGCATCTAGTTTTAATGGTGGTAGGTTAAATAATTGGAAATCTAACTTTAGTGGGTGTATTTGAGGAATTTTTAAAGACTGTTTAAGATTTTAAAACTCTTGGTGTATTTAATTTAAATTTTTTAAGAATTTTAAATTTTTGAGTTATTTGGTTGGGATTAGAATTTATTAAGATTTATTGAGATTTTTAAAGGAAAATATATGTACGAAATCTCATTCCAAATCTCACCTTTATACAATTTAACAGGTTTCTAAATTTTAAAGAATTTCAAATATCAAAATGTTTGAAAATGTCACTCGAATTCCTAAATGAAATACTCTCTTAGAGAATTAGGTGAGGGATAATACATATTTTGATCGGAAATAATTATGTTAAAGTTAGAATGTAACACTTCACCATCATGATTTATGAAAAAGAACCTATAAAAACAAGTCATTCAAAAAAAGACTAAACTCCCTCAGCTAAATAATCCCCCTAAAAAAACAAACAAGCAAAGTAAAGAATTCCCCCATCTCAAAGCCCCCTTCTCTATATATATCCCTCACCCTTCACTCCATCGATCTGATGGTCGGGGATAGATCGAGGGTGGCGCTGGTGCACAGGAGACCTTGTGTTTTCTCGCGTCCCATACAACAGTCCCGCGTGCTCGTGCGCCTAAGCCAGCGAAATAAAAATTTAAATTAAAAAAACTACAGCTCAAACAATATATAATTTCTTGTCTAATTTCTTTGATTTTTTTTAGAAAATATATTTTTATTTTTTGAATAAAGACTATATATAATATATTTTAATTGAGAATGTTATAATAGAAATTTTTAATAATAATATTTTAGAATTTAAAAAAACTATGAAATTATTAGATTAATCAAACGTAATCATAGGATTAGATAAAATAAAAACTATAATAATACTTATAATAAATAAATTGTTATTTTAATTTTTAAATATAAATATGAATCTAATAAAAAAAGTAAAACATACTGTCAAAATAAATAATGAAAATAAATAGTAAAAAGAATATGTATGTATCCAGGCATGCATGCATAGTTATTTTATTTTATTTTATTATTTTTCCCAATTGTCGTATTTACATCTTGTCATCTAATGATACCACTTTCAATTTTGATTCTTTCTTTTAGTAAAAAAATTTAATTTGTTTTGGTCTGAATAAACTATTAGTCCTATTTTTTTTCTTCATTGAAATCTAATTATATTATAAAATTAGAATATTAGAAAGGGTAATAATGTTAAATAATTTTTAGACGAAATAAAATGTTCTATGATGGTTTTCATTTAATTTTTTGGTCCAACACTTTAACATGAGTTTTTCTTTTCTTTTCTTGATTTTAAAGATTGAATTTAATGTATACCGTTAATACTTCTAAACTAATAAAATAGAATGACTAATAGTTAATAATAACAGATAATCAATAATATTTGGAAGTGCCCAATATAAAAGACCAATTCTAAAATTTTGTCTTGGCCATAGTAGTAATAATAAACTATATCTCGGTGTTTTAGCAAATTTATTAATTTTTTTTATATACGATTAGCATAATGTTCTCCAGTTAAGAGTTATGAAATTAAAGTTACCAAAATAATTATGATAAGAAAGACTACAGCTACGTACCTTGATAAGATTTTGAATGCTATCTTGACGAAAATAATGCAACAAACAGGTGCTGTCTTGGTATTCAGGATTATTGAAGTCGGTGAAATTGTCGCCAATGCTTTCCTTTGAATGTCAAATTTAATAAACAAGGTGGTGTTGGTATGATAATGATTGATGACCTCACAGAGGGAATTGGATAAGTTCCATAGTCGTGGTCATCACTATTTTTGCATAAAAGTATTTTTTCCTTCACTTATAATGAACCTGGAAAACAATGGTTGGACAAACACCAAACATAATACCAAAAGGTCCTCATATATTATTATTATTTTTTTTATGAAAGGTTGATCACGGTGCACTTTATGAAAAATAAACAAAATTAATTTTTATGCCCCATGCGTGTGGAAAATGTAGACAACTTTTTTCTTTGACAAAATAGGACAATAACTTGTTAAAATGTGGACAATAACTTATTTATCTCTCCTCTCCTCTCCTCTCATCAGGCGTTGTCCTTTCGCCTTATAGCCCCTTATCCTCCCCACTAGAGCTCAGCTACCAGGTCCGCCACTGCCTTCGCCACCTCCCAAAACTGCAACCTAAATCTCCAAAAACTTTTCCCTAATCCTCCTTGATTCGCCCCATATCAATAATCTATGTTCGAATCGGATCCCGCGATCTCTACAAACGACGTCGCCGTGAGCTAATTGGACGCTCGCGGCCACCCTGTACTCCTCTAGAACCACTAAGAAGGTCTAAGGCATTGTACGCACCCACCAGAACCTAATCGAGTCGGTCGCCTACGGCCACATCCATCCGGTGTCAATCTTCATGCTGCCGTTATTCCACGTGTTCAGGTTCTTTATGTTGGGGAATGAGGTCGCTGAGCGGTTCGGGGAGAAATTCCCCGACGTGGAGGTTCACTGTTCACGGATATTTTTTTAAGTTGATTATTTATTTATTTTATTCTAATATTTGAGTTATGTTGATGTGGGACACGCGTATCCATGTAGGATAAACTGGGGTGAGTCATCATAATCGGTGAATTTTGGTAACTTGTAGGTTAATTGGGCACGAATTCTGCATTTTAACAAGTCATTGTCCTGTTTTGCTAAACATAAAAGAAGTTGTCCACATTTGCCACGCTTAAAAAGTTACGGGCCCGAAATGCAGTTTGTATCAACGCCCACCAAACCCTTAGGCATAAAAAAAAAATTATTTTTATAAAATTGTGCTATAATTTAAATTATATAATTACATTGTCGTTCTTGTAATGAATGAATTTGATCGTAATCGAAATTGTATTTTACATGTAGTGTTATTAGCTAGTATCTGGTTTAGAAATACAACATTAATATTTTTTACTATAAAAGGGACCAAACCTTGAATATGATGATAATTTTTAAATATGTAACGTCAACATCTCGGAGATATAAAAAATTATAGAGTTTAGATGACTAAAAATTCAAATTTATTTTTTCAGATTATGGATAAAATGAAACAAAAATATATTTTGAATATGATAAAAACCAAAATAGAGGTCAAATAAATGTGAAAAAATATTCATTTTATTATTGAAAAATCTAAAATTGAAAGAAGTAGCTTTCTTCATATGGGATATTAATATTGGGAACCCTTATATTAATACCTTGCATTGAATCGATCATGGTGGTTGGAATTCGCTTCTCCATAAATTAAAGGATAAATGACAATTTTAGTGAGACCGGAAAAGTTTATGCCTCCACCCTACAACACCAAATTAATGGACTAGTGAATATTGTATCGTAACATTTACCCTATATATAATATATAGTTTGAATAATAATAACAATAATATAATTAACTTTTATTATTTCTAGTGTTTATCGATTCTTTACCTTAATCAATGTTCTCCCATCCAATACAATATCGACCTTCAAATCACGGTAAATACATTGATGCATTTAATATTTGTTCCTCCCAAGCATTTTCCCTTCCAACACTTTGGGATTTGATGCATACTTGGAGTTAAAGTAGACTGTATTTTCGATGTTATTATCTATGATGAGCAAAAAAACTTGAAAAATAAAATTTAATTATTATATAAATTCAACTAATTAAATTCATAACTTTTTTTATCCCAAACTGTTTAATTTGTAAGCTCGTTAGTGTTGTACAAATACTGTCAGAGTATGCCCATTTAACATATTTAATTTTTAACAAAAAAGATAATTACTGTACTGAAATATATAGGAATTAAAACAATATTATTTAAGTTGACCTTTTTTCGAGTGTTTGAAAAAGCTCGGCATGATCAGTTCTTCAAACTCCATTTGATGTGTTGCTCCCATGTACAAAATATGAACCGGTTTTGTAGCATCTTCTGGTTTAGAAAACGCATTCACAAGAAATGAAACAATTACGGAAAGACTGAAACCGATGAGAAAGTAAAACGAAACACTTACAGACTAAAACCGATAAAAAAGTAAAAAGCTTCCCATGTTTCCCTTAGACCAAAACATTTTGATGTGTTCTCACTTCTCAAGCTTAAGTTTATGCCCCTTTTATAGTGTTAAAATATTATTTGTGGACTAATTCCAAAATTATTCTAAAATTAATATTCTATTGTGAGAATTTTAAAAGTATTAATCTCACAATTATAAGAGTATATAAAAAGTAATCCTATTGGAATGTTTCTGTACAATTAAGTCTACTTTAAAAATTGATCAAAATAAGATTTTTTTTTTTTTTTTTAAATGACACATCACATCCATATGACTTATAGGAAATTTTGAAAGTAGCCCTATAGCATTCATGATGTCTCAAAGGTAGTCTTAAGAGAATCAAATTAATCAAAAACCCAATCATTTTTAACCATCACTATTTATAAGTCTACTTTAACTCAACTTTAATTTAACTTCACTATTTTCAATATTATTAATATTATTAAATAATATTAATTAATCATTCGTACACATCATATTAACTTTAATTCATTATTTATCTACTCACATAATTTTAACTAACTATTACTTCACATTATCTCTTTTCTACTTTTACATGAAATCAACTTTAATTATTTTATGTTAAATATTATTTTAATATAGACTCAAAATCTCACTAACAACTAATCATTCCACACTTTTCAAAACTAACCAAACCAAACCAATAAATCTAACTAAAACTAAAAATATTTATATCAAAGCATTCGGCGGCAAGTCACGCCATATAATGAATTTGACATTTTTTTTGTCACACTAATGACTTTCTGTCATTATTATTTCTTTAGTGTTTCCTATAGTAATAGACTTTCAATAAGACTAAACACTATATTTAGATATTAAACTAACTATTGAGCGTGAATACAACCAAAAGATTAATGAATCTTAAAAAGATTTGGTAAATATTAATGACAAATAAAAATAGAACTTATGATATTATGGAGATTATGGTTTTTGGGTGCTTTCAATCTTTGTTTATACCGAAGGATTAGAGTTTTAAGACTATTTTGGTTCTTCTTAATCGTCCATGTATTATAAATTGTAATATTGTAATAAAATTTTAAGAACTCCCATATATAAAGATAGAATGTACTAAACAGTTCAACAAAAGCTTTAATGATCCCCAAATAGAAAGACAAGGAGAGAAACATGACACAACAAGAATAAATAAATCATTCCTTGTTATGACTAAAAAAGCCAAGAGAATCCAAATTATAATAAATATTCTTATATATTTTGGTATGACAAAGGATGAGTTAATAAAATATTACATAGGAGATAAATAAGATAAAATTTTCACATGTTACTTTCTTCTCTTATTCATGCTTTTAGATACATATATTGTGTTCTTGGCGTACTTTGTATGTTATGAATTTCATTGACCTTTAATAATTTTAATTTTAGAACTTATGAGATCATTATTAATTACTTTGATCTAAGGAGACTACTTTTGAACAAATGCAAAGTTACGAGACCACTTTATTTATTTAAACCCATTTGGATGAGGCATTTCATTTAACGGAGTACACTGACATGATCTATTATTCCCAGTTAAACAAGTGAAATTACGTTGAAAATTATCCTTATTTTATTCAATTTTAAAAGTACAGTACAAAACTATTATTTATCAACTTCATTTCAATGAGAATATTTTATATAGGTATCTGTAATTCTGGGACTAATAATGTTTTTAGCACATTTGTTTTATGCATTGCTATATTAATCAAATATGTTTTGAATTTGTGCAATTTGGCACTTCAGATAGAATTGATCTGTAAACTTCTATTATGATTAAATTTAACATATATTACTAGTGTTAAACTAAAGTGACTAAAACTTAACATAATTTCAAATAACGCACGAGTTTTATTTTAATCAATATTAATGATAAAATAATTAAATGGAAGTTCATATAGTACTGAATGAAGAGATACAATTATAAAATAATAGTAGTACTAATAATGCTAGTAACATCATCATCATCATCATCATCAACAACAACAACAGCAGAAAAAAATTCCAATAGGTCATTGGTGTTAATTAATAATGTGATTCAAAAATTTATAGTGGTTTGATGTAACGATTTACCTTAAATAAAATAGCTAGTAATGCCAGTGGTTTAATGTAACGATTTACGTTAAATTATGCAATTTGGAAGTTCATATAGTACTGAATGAAGAGATACAACTATAATAATAATAATAGTAATAATGCTAGTAATAACATCATCATCATCAACAACAAAAACAACAAAAAATTCTAATAGGTCATTCGTGTTAATTATTAATGTGATTCAAAAATTTATAGTAGTTTGATGTAACGATTTACGTTAAATAAAATAGCTAGTACTGCAGCATATAAAATATGTATTTAAAAATTCAAAGAAAAACTTTATTCTTTATATTTTTTTATTATTTTTAGGAATATATTTCTTAATTTAATAAATATTGTGCGAGTATCGAATATGAATGAAAGCTAAACCAATAGTTAGAAATATATTCTACAATGGAGTCATATCTTATATTATGAAAAACTTCAAATTTAGCCATTATAATAGATTATTATGTCGGCGACAAAATTCAACATTGAACATGCGAAATGGTGTAGACTATGAGATAAGTATGATAGAGTGATTATGGACTAGACAACACAATATTCCCAAATTTTACTTTGTTGTATTTAAAATTGTTTTTTCATCCTCTTTCAACATGAGACGAATGTGGAGGTGAGCACACTGACATATAAAATTTTACTTTGTTGTATTTTTTTTTTTTTTTNTTTCCAACACGATAAAAATAGCATTAAAAACTCAGCAAAGTGTCTTACAAACGATCAATCAAATGACTGAACCGAGAACTATCCTACACCACAAGGGAGGAAAGCACCCAAAGGGAGATAACAATTATTCCCTCAAACCGCAAAAGCAACAACTAGCAACTAATTACACGGATGACAAATTCAAAGCGAAGATACAATTAATGTTCCTGCTAAGCAAAACACATTTCTGGAGTAGAGAGTTAGAAGAAGATGCCTACCCATCATTAAATTTTTGCAGCTTTTCCACCAAGAAATGATCCTGTATGAAACAAGTGCAGCTTTCCCATTTCTGATCAGAGGCAATATCAAGGCTCCATTTAACAGCCAGGAGCAGCTTATCTTCTTCTTGTCTATCTACTGCATTGTGTTTGACCCAACTTTTGACTTCATTAGCATCAAGGACAGCTTTGCAGTGAAAATCAACACTTCCTCCCTCAGAGCTTAAGGCACTGACAAATAAACTCATTTGCCCTACCTTCGAGGAAAATTGCTCTGTGGAAGTCTGAATTGATAAAAGATCAATAGCCACTGTTTTTGCATCAAATTCAATTCACTCATAACATGATCTCTCACAATATCTTTTTCTAACCACCACTCCTTGTTCCAAATCCAAGCATTCTGGCTTTCCAGAGATTCCAAATTAGCATAGCTGAGAAGCACATCCTTTCTGATTTTTTGTTCTCTTTTTTGATGCTGCAATGCTCCATCCACCAAGTCTGGAAGTTGGTCTTTGGGTTCTGCAGTGCATTCCAATGAATCCCTGAGATTTTCCAGCAGTTTGCAGCTCTAGGACAGTGGAATATAATGTGTGCCAAGTCTTCATCCGTTGCTCCGCAGACATTACACTTTGAGTCAATCAGCATTTTTTTGGAAGCCAGAGCTGCCTTAGTGCCCATGAAGTTGTGCCAACACCTCCATATGAAATTTCTCACTTTTGGTTTCACCTGTAATTGCCAAGTAATTCTCCACATCTTACTGAGTTGAGTAGGATATGAGCTTGATTCAGGCTTTTCAGAAAAAGAGCAAAGATTAGTCATCACAATTTTATAAGCATCTTTATATGAAAAAGCCCCTTTAGAGTTACAATGCCAAATAAGCTTGTCTCTGCTGCCTAAATGGTTTAGAGGAATGTTGAGAATGTAGAATGCATCAACAGGATTGAAGGTTTGGTATATGAGGTCCTTATCCAAAGAGTTGGTGGATTGACAAATAAGATCTTTAACTCTGTGGAGTCTCAGTCTATCTACAGGGAAGTAACAATGAGGCTTGAAAGAAGTGTTATTAGGAATCCAGGGACAGTTCCAAATATCAATGTCATGACCATTGCCCACCTGGTATCTAACCCCTAATTCTAAGTATTTTCTAGCCTCAAGCCAACTTCCCCAAAGCCATGAGTCCCCACTCTTAGGCTGAACATCTTGAAGGTTTAAATTATAAAAGTATCTACCCTTGAGAACCCTTCCGACAAGAAGGTTGGGTTTGGTAATGAGCCTCCATAGTTGTTTAACAATTAAAGCATCATTGAAGGCTCTCAGGTCTTTAAATCCTAGACCGCCTTCTAATTTATTCTTAACTGACTTATCCCAACTAGCCCAGTGAACCCTGCTGCCCCCAGAATCATTCATACCCCACAAAAAGTTGGCAATGTCTCTGCTAATATTATCAATAACACACACAGGCACTCTAAAGCTAGAAAAAACATATGTAGGAAGAGCTGAAAGAACAGATTTAAAAAGGACTTCTCTTCCTGTCTCACTCAGGTATTTGTTTTTCCAACTACTAAGCCTCTTGCTAACACACTCACTCACAAATTCAAAGATCTTTTTTTTTTTTTTTTTTTGCCTAAAGGTAGGCCAAGATATTTAGTGGAAGGGACTCTAGAGATGCCTGGAAACATATTGCAGATAGCCTGAATAGAGTTATCAGGGGTATTCTTAGAGAAAAAAATTGAGGACTTGTCAATGTTGACTAGTTGGCCAGAGTCATGGCCATAGTCAGACAAAATTTTCAGAATCATATAAGCATGAGCCAAATTAGCTTTACAAAACAATATGGTATCATCGGCAAAAAAGAGATGAGAAACACAAGGGGTAAGTTTACCTATTTTGACCCCTCTGAAATTGGAAATTAATCTAGCTTGAGCTAACAAATTAGAAAAAGCTTCAGAGACAATAATGAAGAGATAGGGAGACAAAGGGTCTCCCTGTCTCAAACCC